ACACTGGAAAACCCACCCTCAATGAACAACTGTGCAGAATAAATCAGATAGCCAAAGCAATGTGGCTAGTATATGACCATAGGACCTGGCACAGAGTAGATATTTAATGAATGGTCCCTGGTGTTAACTGATAAACCTGGGGGAGACCTCAGGAGAGTTGTTATGGCTTTTGACCTGTCCCTTCTTCTCCAGGTTTTTATCAGTCATTGGAAGGGAAAGGGAACTCTGAATCAAATCAAGTTTTGCAACTAGCTTCGTGAATGACTTTGAGAATGTCTGGTAATGTTCAGCACTTCCTTTTCGTTGTTGGCAAAATGAAAAATAAAACAAAAAATCCTACCACAAAGCATGAGCATTATCCTGGAATTGCATTTATCTTAATATATTGTCACCCTCTATTGTTGACATGTGATGCTAATTTTCCATTTATGGTAATGACAATTTCTCTTTCAGATAATTTCTCTTTCAAATAATTTCTCTTTCAAATACTTAATTGAAGTATTAAATAGTGAGTGAAAAACTGTGCAAAAGACTTGAACACATACTTCACAACAAAGGATATCCAGGTGGCCAATAAGTGTAAGAAAAAATGTTAAACATTGTTAATCATCATGGAAATATACTCCTTGAAAGATCTACTATATATAAGTTAGAATGATGCAGCATAATCTTTTTGAAAACTAACAATATCAAGTGTTGGTGAGGATATGGAGCAAGTCACATACTATTTGGAGAAATGGAAATTGGTAAAAACACTTTGGAAAAAGTATGACATTATCTACCAAAAGTGAACAGATGCATTCTCCATGACACAGAAATTCTAGTCTTAGGTGTATACCCAATTCAGGCATGTGTACACAAAAAGACATGTACAAGAATGTTCAGAGTAGTGTTTTTCATAATCACTCCCAAAATGGAAGCAATCTAAATATCTATTCAATAATACCGTGGATAAACTGGTATAGTTATACAATCGGATACTATGGAAGAATGAAGATAAATGAACTACAGTTACACTCTGCAACTTGGTTGAATTTTCCAAACATAATGTTGATCCAAAGAGACCAGATGCCAAAGAATATGTACTGCAAGATTTCATTTATGTAATGTCCAAAAACAAACATAACTGTGGTGCCTGGCTTCCTGTCAGTAGAGCATGCACCTCTTCATCTTGGGATTGTGAATTTGAGCCTCGTGTTGGGCAGAGAGATAACTTTAAAAAATGAACATAAAAAAGTTATAGATGTTAAGAAGGCCATTAGCTCTGGAAAGGAGAGGTAATAATAATTGATATGGATTCCTGGCAACTGACAATGTTCTCTTTCTTGACTGAGTACTGGTTACATCATGTTTTGTGTACTTTTGCACGTGTATGTTCATTTCCAATAAAAAGATTTAAAATGAAGAGAATTGGCATAAAGAAAAATATTTCTAACTAAGGTAATATATGGAAATGACAAAATTCACAAAGGCTGTATATGAATAAATTATGTTTGAGAAGTAAGGGATTGGATGATTCATGTACCTTTTGATTTGAAGACTCAGTGAAGTACTGAATTGGTTGATTTCTGCCGGGTTGACACAGGCAGTAACTATTGCAAAGCTGGTGAATGAAGACAGAGAGAGAGAGAGAAGGGGAGATAATACTGAGGAGTAGCTAAGAGCATGGGCTTTGTGTTAAAATGCTTGGTTTGAATTCTTTGTGTGTGTGTGTGTGTGTGTGTGTGTGTGTGTGTGTGTGTGTGCACTTTTTGCCCAATGTGGGATTTGAACTCATAACCTCATGATCAAGAGTTGCATGCCCTCCAACTGAGCCAGTCAGGTACCCCTGGTTTGGAATTCTTGCATCACCACCTGTTGGATCTGTGACCTTAGGCAAATTACTGGACCTCTCTCTACTCAATTTCCACATCTTTAAAATGGGAATAATGATGGCACCCATTTCCACGCCTCTCTTCTAGCTTCTGATGATGGCTGGCAATCCTTTGCCTTCCTTGGCTTATAGATGCATCACTCAAATCTCTGGCTTCTTCTCTACTTGGTGGTCTTCCTCTGTGTGCCTCTGTTTTCTCTTTTCATATGGGCACTAGTCATATTGGATTAAGGCCCCACCCTAGTGACCTCATCCTAATTGATTATATCTGCAAAGACCCTATTTCCAAATAAAGTTACATCACTGTATCTTGGGTTAGTACTTCAACATATCTTTTTGGGTGACACAACGCATAATATGTAGAAAAATAGAAAAAATAATATAATAAATACCCATATGACTACACCTAGATTCAGTAAATGTTAATATTTTGCCACTTTTTCTTCAGGTATCCTCTAAGATTAAAGTTATTCTCCTGCTGGTTCCTCAAAAAATTAAAAATAGAACTACCCTACGACCCAGCAACTGTACTACTAGGTATTTATCCAAGGGATACAGGTATGCTGTTTCAAAGGGACACATGCACCCCAGTGTTTATAACAGTGCTATCAACAATAGTCAACGTATGGAAAGAGCCCAAATGTCCATCGATGGATGAATGGATAAAGAAGATGTGGTATATATATATATATATATATATATATATATATATACACACACACACACACACACACACACACACACACACATACACACACACACACATACATACATATATATACAGGCACACACACACATGTATATATATATATACATACATATACAATGTATATATGTATACATATATATATACAGTGTATATATATGTGTGTACATATATGTACAATGTATATATAGGTATATATATATACATATACAATGGAGTATTACTCAGCCATCAAAAAGAATGAAATCTTGCCATTTGCAACTATGTGGATAGAACTAGAGGGTATTATGCTAAGTGAAATTAGTCTGTCAGAGAAAGACAAATACCATATGAGTTCACTCATATGAGGACTTTAAGATACAAAACAGATGAACATAAGGGAAAGGAAGCATAAATAATATAAAAACAGGGAGAGGGACAAAACAGAAGAGACTCATAAATATGGAGAACAAACTGAGGGTTGCTGGAGGGGTTTTGGGAGGGGGGATGGACTAAATGGGTAAGGGGCATTAAGGAATCTACTCCTGAAATCATTGTTGCACTATATGCTAATTAACTTGGATGTAAATTTTAAAAATAAATTTAAAAACTAAAAATAAAGTTATTCTCCTGCCTAAGCACACTACCATTATTGTGCCACTAAAATTAACAATAATTCCCTAATATCAACTAATGAACAGTTGCAGTAGATTGCATTATTGTTCAAAATTATTCACTTTTCCGTTCCCTGTGGGAAGATAATACATCCCTGCCCTGCAATCTTTGCACTTGACTCTGTTGTTATGCTGCTTTAGCAAACATAATGTGAACAGCAAGATGTTCCCCTATGGTGCAAAAGCCTTTTGAATCATTGACTGAGTTTTGGAATAAGAAGACACATAAATCAGAACATCTGCCTGGAGCATAGCAGTAGCCAAGCCAGAAACCTGAGTGACTTGAGCAAGAAATAAATGTTTGTTTGTAAACCACTGAAATCTAGAGCTGTTTTTAACTGCATGTTTTCCCAGTGGATTTAGAACTACCTTTAATATTTTTCAGGCCAGTATACATTCCAGATTTTCACATTGTATTTTGTTTGTATGTTTCTTAAATCCGTTTCATTCTGAAACAGTGTCCTACCTTTTCCCATCCTTCCTTCCTTTCATTTTTTCTTTTTTTTATTCTTCATGAAATTTATATTTTTAAGAAGTCAGGTCAGTAATCTTATATAAGATTCTACATTGTGAATTTGTCTATTTCCTCCTGGTGTGTTTTAACCTGTTCCTCTAAGTGCTTCCTGATCTTGGTTGCAAATTAACATCACCTTGGAATATTATTATACCAGTGTGTCTGTACATCCATACCACAAATGCTACCCATCATGTTCTCTAATGCTCACACAATAACTTTAGAGGGTAGCAAGGGAAGAATTGGTGTCTTCACTTAACAAAGGGGAAATCTGAGAAAAAAAGTAACTTATGTTAGGTCACATAGTCAATATGTGGCAGAGCCAGGGCATAAATTCATGACATTTACATCCTTCCTTTCTTCATGTTGCCTTCAAACAGTTTGAGAGATTTAGATACAGATGTAGATATATGTTTTTATCTACTCCTGGATGGATATACAAGTAACTAGCAACAGCCATTGTCTGAAGTATAGAGTTAGGAGTCAGTGAGAGACTTCATCATATATTCTTTTATATTATTTGAAAAATTTTCTTGAGGATAAAAAAATAAGTACTGAATTCAAAAGAGCTTTATAAATCATAAAGCATCATAAAAAATATTAGGGTTTAATGTTACTATTATCTACCAGCAAAAAGAAATTAAAGGTTGGGTCTTCGTGCAAAAGTTGAGTAAATTAATTTAGTAGGCCCGTGTGTCAGAATAAAATCCTATTTTTCTTTTTAAAATCACCCTTTGGAATATTTGATGACATTGGAAAATGCTCAAGGTTTAAGTGGAAAATACAAAAATCGCATAGGTGTATGATTACAATTTTGTGTGTTCCCTGTGTACAAAAACAAATACAAAGAGAAAAGTGACTGGAAGAAACCATTCACAATGCTTTGAAGGGAGAGGGGAAATAGGAAGTATTTTCTTATATTTTCCGGTATATCCCACATTTTCTGCAAGTTAATAAATGCTATTTAGAAAGAAAAAAAAATCACAACTAAACCTTCAAACTTGGTCAGAAAGAAAATTTTTACAAAATCTCACTTCGTGAAAGTGACTTGCTGCATGACGGAGGAGAAAATCTGACAACCGTGTGCAGTACAAAAGGTGCAATGGAACGCTTCTTACACGCCCGGAAGTGGATTAAGAACTACAAGGAGAGGCGAGAGAGATGAGGACCTCCACTACAGCTAGAGCGGCCACTAAGAGACACAGGAACTTCCGGGGCGAGGCTTTCTTGGTCCTTCCCTCCGCGGGGCGAATGTGGTCCGCGGGGCGAATGTGGTCCGCATGCAATGTGAAAGTTCGCGACTGCTGGGCCGTCACTTCCGTTACTCTGAGACGGTGCTTGAAATTGGGGGCGGCCATGGCAAAGAGCAAGTTCGAGTACGTGCGGAACTTCGAGGCTGACGACACCTGCCTGGCCCACTGTTGGGTGGTGGTGCGGCTGGACGGCAGGAATTTCCATCGGTGAGCGAGTTTGGTTTGAGGCAGCAAGGTGCCCCAGGGCTTCCGGGGAATGGAACGCCAATTGTGGCGGCAGCTCTTGGTTACCGGGTAACGCGACAGCCAATGAGCGCGTGGCATTGAGCCTCACACTACGCGCTAGCTACCAGGTGCTTGAAGGCGCGGTCTGAGTAGTTAAACTGAGGCCGAGTGCTCTTGTGATGAGCAGCTGGCCTGCGGCGCCCTTGAGCTAAGACCTGTTAGCAAGGCCCTGGTGGAAAAAGTCAGTCCCCAGTGCAGCATTTCAGTTCTTCAGCCAGTTGCCCGGCTATTTAGTTAGTTCTATTGGAAGGCAGACTGCTTAGAGACCTTTTTAGATCTTGCTGTGGGCAATACTTTATAGTATGTTCTTTGATTATCAGTAACTAGCCATACGCGGGAGGAAAAATAAAAAAGAAATGTAACAGAAAGATGGGAATTTAATTCTTAAAAGTATTATTTTAATAATGGTTCTTATCACTTGTTGAGCATTTCCAAGGAGCCAGGCATAGTTATATTTGTTACCTCCCTCTAATCTTCACAACAGTCCTGTGACGTAAGTATACTTTATCTCCGTTTCGCAGAACAGGGAATGGAGACTTAGCAATTATGCGCCTTTTTCTCAGTTGGTCAGGGCGAGAATAAAGTAGACTTCTTAAATAAGTCAGGTTGTAAGCTCTCTTCCATTCATGCCCTTTTCCCTCTATAAAGGTTTGCTGAGAAACACAACTTTGCAAAACCTAATGACAGCCGTGCTCTCCACCTGATGACCAAATGTGCCCAGACTGTAATGACAGAACTGGAGGATATTGTGATTGCGTATGGACAGAGTGATGAGTACAGCTTTGTGTTCAAGCGGAAAAGCAATTGGTTTAAAAGAAGAGCTAGGTAATTCCATGTCCTAGCTCTTGAGAATATTTCCTGTCAGCATTTGGTTTTTGCCTTTTTTAATTGGTGCCTTACAGACTGCAGATGGAATATTCCAACTGCAGAATGTATATTTCCTGTTTAGACTGTTGTACTTTTATCTTTTTTTTTAATTTTTTTTTAACGTTTATTTATTTTTGAGACAGAGAGAGACAGAGCATGAACGGGGGAGGGTCAGAGAGAGAGGGAGACACAGAATCGGAAGCAGGCTCCAGGCTCTGAGCCATTAGCCCAGAGCCCGACGCGGGGCTGGAACTCACGGACCGCGAGATCGTGACCAGAGCTGAGGTCGGACGCTTAACCGACTGAGCCACCCAGGCGCCCCTGTACTTTTATCTTTTATGTGAGCATTACATAAACCTCTTTATCTGATTCTTTCTGCTTCATTCCTCATCACCTTAGCTTCTACATAGATCTGGCACTGAACATTAAGACTAGAAACAGACACCGTTAGAATATAATAATATTAATAATTTAATTCCTAGGTTGGCTTTAGCCAAGAACAGCCTATATGTGCTTTACAATATTGCTTAAATTTTTAATTAAGAAGGATCTCAAAATAGACAAATTTGATATTTCATTTGGCAATATATCGAAACTGTCAGAGAAAACAAAGCATATAATGAATTGCCTTTTTTAAAACAATGGTTCTCTTCCTTCCAAGACTAAAAACACACACACACACACACAAACCCTCTTTAACCATAAATTCACATAACATCCTACATACAAAAATTCAGTATTAGTAAGTTACTTATTGGACTGGAAAGAGAGGCGGGCTGCTTAGTTTTTCTTGGCCCAGCACATTTTATCTCTTGACTTGCTGGACACTTTGTATAATCACTCTTGCACACACAGGCTCTATCATGGTTTTGAATTAATATCATGTATTTTCTTTTTTCTTGCTCCACCCAATGTGCCTTACTTCTGCAAGTAAGTTCATGACCCATGTGGCTTCCCAGTTTGCCTCCAGCTATGTGTTTTATTGGCGAGATTACTTTGAGGACCAGCCCCTTCTGTATCCCCCAGGCTTTGATGGAAGAGTCATAGTGTATCCTAACAACCAGACCTTAAAGGACTACCTCAGTTGGCGGCAAGCAGATTGTAAGTGAAACCAAGTAAACAGATGTAGTTAAACCACCAGTTCCATATATTAGAGGTGGTGATTTGATACAGGTTTGGCACATGTGTATTTTGTTTAAATGCAGTATTTTGTATTTTTTTAATTAGTTGAAAACAATTGAAAAATTGGGAGATTCATGTAAATGTTCCCGATTTCCAGTTTTTTTGGGAAAAATCAGGAGACCTGGTAATACTAGGTCTACATTCCCACTTAGTATTAGATATTACCTATGCAGTGACTGCTGCCTTTATATATATATACACACACACACAGAAGCCAATGTGCCATAAACTGTACCATTCTCTCTTGTTCCCCATGGGTCACCTACTCTGCTTTATGCATTTATGTTCATGGTGGCCTCATTGGGTGTTTGAATTGTGACTCCTGCCTTACACAACTATGATGACATGTTTGTGAGACTTACTTATTTGGTGTATCTTGATTTTCCCAGAAAAACTGGAAAAGAGCTAGGATTAATCTAAAATAACTTTGAAAGTATTCCTAAGTTTAATGTGTAAGTTAACCAGTTTATACACAGCATAAGTGAAATGAGAGAATAAAACTTCTAGGTAATAAGTTTGTTTATACTTGACCACTTCCCCCCCATCTTCCCAGTGTATGGTTCTGGGTAAATCACTAAATGTCTCCGAGATCTCTCTCCTTTCAAGGAGAGAGGTGGAGTTCTTTTTTTTTTTTTTTTAATTTTTTTTTTTTTAATGTTTATTTTTTGAGACAGAGAGAGAGAGAGAGTTGGGGAGGGGCAGAGAGAGAAAGGGAGACACAGAATCTGAAGCAGGCTCCAGTCTCCGAGCTGTCAACACAGAGCCCAATGTGGGGCTCGAATTCACAAGCTGTGAGATCATGACCTGAGCCGAAGTCAGACGCTTAACTGACTGAATCACGCAGGCGCCCCAGAGAGGTGGAGTTCTAATGTTCTTCGAAACATGAGTATTGCATAAAGATCATATCTGTATAAACAGTGCTACTCTTTTCTCCTCACAGGTCACGTCAATAATCTTTATAATACAGTTTTCTGGGCACTTGTACAACAGTCTGGACTAACACCAGTACAAGCCCAAGAGAGATTACAGGTATAAGGTCTTAACTGCATTAATACTCACCTGGGGTTGGTTTTCTGTACACTCTCCCATGCCATTTTGTATTCTTTTAAAGCTCTCTACTGCTTTGGTTTGAAAGGATATAAAGATCTTACTAGTAGCAGCTCTGCTACCTGCTTATTCTGTGACCCCAGATGAGTTACTGCTTCTCCCTGAGTCTTAGTGTCCTCAGCTAGAAAATGGAATTGGTGACACTGGCTCTACATTCCCACGTGGTAGTGCGTGGCTGGGGCTGCATATTGGTTGCCTTCTTTAGACAGGGCACATGCTCTTTTTCATCAGTCCCACTTGGCATCTTTATCATTGTCATTCCCTGCTGGGTGCGTGTATTGTTAAGAGTATAGGCTTTGGAAGTCAAATAATTGTACTCAGGGACTTCTATTTAATTTTATCCCCTCTGCCTTAGTTCTTTATAGGTAAGATGTAAGAAGTAACAGTTCCCACTGCATAGGTTTATTGTGAGAATTAAATGGCATAAAGCACATAAACCATAATAAACACTGGCGTTCATCATTAGATGACCAGTGCTACTTATGGGATGACTAACTGAAATGAGGTGATGTGTTGTTATGGCTCTTAATATAATGCCTGGCACATTATAATTACACAATACATGTTTGTCATTAACAGTAATGGTGAAGATTTAGAGATAGCAATAATAATTGGCATATTGGTAGATCTATCCCGAGTTTGGAAGAGCTGAGTTTAGATTTTGTTTTTTTTTTTTTTTTTTAATTTTTTTTTCAACGTTTATTTATTTTTGGGACAGAGAGAGACAGAGCATGAACGGGGAGGGGCAGAGAGAGAGGGAGACACAGAATCTGAAACAGGCTCCAGGCTCTGAGCCATCAGCCTAGAGCCTGACGCGGGGCTCGAGCTCACGGACCGCGAGATCGTGACCTGGCTGAAGTCGGACGCTTAACCGACTGCGCCACCCAGGCGCCCCTAGATTTTGATTCTTATAAGAATAAAAGCAGCTTTTGGCCTTAGGCAATTTATATAATCTTTCTAAGCTTCAGAGTTCTCTCTAAAATGGAGATGGTAATGAGGGTCAAATAAGATAACATACATTACGTAGTACAGAATAGTACTCTTTCCTGTCACCCCATCCCAGTTGTGACTTTTGAAGCCAGTTGTTTGCTACAGAAGACAGTTTTATGAATTTAGACATCTAAATAAGATTTAAACTGCTCTTACAATTGAAATTCATTAGTATCTATAAGATATTTGGTAAAACCCTTCCACTTTTTTGTTTGTGGAAATTTAGATAGAGGGTGGAATGGATAGGTAGGGTGAGGGCAGAGAGCAGACATAAAAATCTTTTTATATCTTTTTTTTATTTTCTCAGGGAACTCTTGCAGCAGACAAGAATGAGATTTTGTTTTCTGAATTCAACATCAACTACAATAATGAGCCACTGATGTATAGGAAAGGGACTGTGTTGATATGGCAGAAGGTAATGCTGTTGTGTCCGAATTAAAATGGAGGTCAGAAAGAAGAAAGCCTGTGCCCATCCCAAACTTTGTGTCCCTTACCACATGTATAAAGATGTGACGCCATTGATTAACATGAATTAGATCTTTTTTAAATGAGATACTATACATTATTTTGGATGCTTTTTTTGTCAGTCAGTGCTACTAATTTTGTCAGTTTGTTAGTGATCTTTGTTGTCTGGAATTTCTCTTTATAAGCAGAATCACAGATTTTAGAATTAGTTCATTTATTTTCCTGTGTCATAAGCTCTCCAAATCAGATAAAACCCCATAACAGAGTACACTGCAGACAGAAGGATTTTTGCATTCATATAACATTTAAAAAATACTTTCTTCCACACTGGATAATATCATTAAGTGGTCCACCCGTCCCATGACAACTATAATATGAGGCATAGGGAAACATTGTATATGAGCGTTTTACCACTTGGAGAATGTTCTTGAGATTCCCTAGATATTCATACTTTAATATTCTGTACCTTTACCTAAATTCTTAATTTTACCAATATTTTCTCTCTGTGCCAGCTTCGGAGCATAATGATTTCTCTAAATTTATTTCCTTCATTTAGTTGTTGTTTTTTTTAATGAATGTTTTCAGGTGTTAAGGGGTACCTTAAGAATTAGTCCTCCCCACTGGCAGCTTCAGCTTATTAGTATTTTAAAACCACATTTGCTCTTTAGCACAGACTTGGATACTTCTTCATGCAGATGAGAGAAGCAAAAAAACAAACAAAAAAAACCTTTAATTCTATATTTATTGTTAATAAGGAACATGGAATTACTCCTTTGTTCCTAAGACCTTCTTTCAGAATATAGCAACTTTTTAAAAGTTTTTAAACAAATTCATGTATGTTGAGATATGTATTTGTATACCTACCTGAAAAATGTTTGTCGGAAGTATATAAAATAAATCAGCTTCCTGCATATCCCCCTCTACTCTCCCAAACCCAATTAACAGTGTTAATATGTTAACTTTTATCTGTAGGTGGGTGAAGTCACAACAAAAGAAGTCAAGCTGCCAGCAGAAATAGAAGGAAAAAAGATGGCGGTGACTCGGACCAGGATTAAGCCAGTGCCTTTATATTGCGATATTATTGGGGATGCTTTCTGGAAGGAACATCCAGAGATCCTAGATGAAGACAGCTGATCCTTTGCTTTTCAGTCCTGGCATGGTTAACCATGCAAGACCCCTAAGTTTCCTGGCAGCAGGTGGCCCTAGGATCCTTACTACCAAGAACAGTGTGCCAGGAATAACATGACTGACTGGAAAGGGACCAGGAAAAGAAGGGATGTATGGGGGTGGTTATCTTGTTCTGCTTTAAGTAGAACATTTTTTTTGCAGTATTGGAACATGGTTCCTTCTGTAGAAGTGCATTTAAAAAAAAAAAAAAATTGTGGTCCTATTTTTATAAAGCAAGAACTACTTTATGCTTTGCAGAATGAATCATTTTTACACTGTGGCATAAATCTTATAAAAACGTGTCCAGCTCTTTCCACCTATGGTAGATGATGAACCCAAACTTTACTCTCAGCCACCTGTTCTTAACTACAGAATCCACTGACCTTTAAAGCCACCTTTCTTACCCGTGTACTTTGACCTGGAGATAAGTAATGGGTTGATGGCTGCAGATGCCTCTGAATTCAGGAATTCCAGGGAGAATGAGCGCTTTGTGCCAGTTACCAGGTTGGCACCTTTGGCTGAACAAATGAGTAGTAGTTTGGATGTCTCTATATGAATATTCCATAGATTGATTTTGTGGAGTTGTCAGCATGATCGTCGTCTTGCCAGGGGTATTTCCAAGGCCACTTAACCTCTTTCTAAAAAGAAAAGGAATTATGTGTATATATGAAAGAAAGAAAATGTGTGAGAATGAATGAACAAGAAGGGAGAAGCATTTACTCATTTTCTCTAGATACTTCAGTTTTAAAAGTCCCCTTCCTATTGGATTCCTGAAAAGGATTCTCAGGTAGCCTCTATGTAATCAGAACACTGGCATTTGAATTAGCACTTCCCTTGGGGTCACAAGTGGCAGGTGTCAGAGGACACCTAATAGTTCCAGCTGCAGATGGGTCAGTTCCAGCTGCAGACGGGGGAGGAAGAGCGGAGGACAGCAGCAGTAATTTCGAGAACCACCACTAGCGAGGGGTCCCCCTCAAGTGGGGGTAGGTGGTGAGAGAACTCCCATTGCCTGCTGTCCTGGTTTCATATTTCAGAGGAAAATTATTTGGCTCTAGTAGGAATTAAGAGGCAGTCTACATTTTAGTGCCTGGTCTTGCATCGCAGACTTCACAGCCACGAAGAAAATGTATTTTTGAAGGCAACGGCTGGTCTCATCCTCCGCTAATTGATACTCCATCTGTTGGAATCATTTTTTTCCCTTCATGTACTCACTGCACAGGAAGAAATATGGTGCATGTTTGGTGATTGATAAAAATCTCTGAGAAAATAAAGGTTTCAACTCCCTTGGCCTACGTTTCCACTTATTTTTCTCATACAAATACAGTGTATGAATCCAACTTTTGTATATATGTCTTTACGTAAGCCAGGATAAACATACCTTCATCACCGCGGTGGTTCACAGACTTCTACATACAAAAATTTACTTGGAATGCTTGTTTTACATTCCTCTTCCAGCACGCCCCGATGAAGATTTGAGGTTTGCTCATCTGATTTTTAACCCCAAAGGCCTCTGATGCCTATGGTGGGTGATCTGTGGCACTTTGGGCTGTAAGGCCCTCAGTATCCTGTGATAGGTCAAGTCAGGCAATAAGGTAATGTAGCTCTGGACTGGTGAATGTAACAATGGTACGTGATAAGTGGACATTAAAGTACAAACTTTCAGGACAAAACCACCCAAAGAAATGTGCTTTCTGTGGGTGCTATGTGATACAAAGGCTCAATTTTGTCATAAGATAGAGGGACAAGCATTTATTGAATTAGCAGCAGTTTACAGCTTTGTTTTTTGTTCTCAGAAGTTTTGAGCAAAGGTATGCATGTTTCATACTCTTGCCATAACTTAACCTGTAGCGATGGTGTTTCTCTGTTGCCACACGTATTTGTTCCAGCATATATTTCACAGTTGTATGTTAATTTTCATTGTGTTCTCTAAGGTAAAGAATGCATTCTCTTGGGCTTTGCATAGCTTAAAGAAACGTTAAGACATACACAAAAAGAACTAGTATAGAATTAACACTAGTTGATAGTTTGGTAGGGAAGTGGCAATTAGGAAAGTGATTTGTGTGGCTTGTAGGTAACTGGAAACACCTTGGCTGTGCTGGATGAGAGGGTGATACCTGGCCTTCTGTGTAGACTATCACTTTATTTTATTTTTTAAATATTTTGAAAGAGCAAGCATGAGTGGGGGAGGTGTAGAGAGAAAATCCCAAGCAGGCTCTGTGCTAACAGCAGGACTTGGTCTCACTGTGAGATCATGACCTGAGTGGAAATCAAGATTTGACACTTAACCCACTGAGCCACCCAGGCGCCCCTAGACTATCATTTAATAGCAAAAAGCAAAAATGTTTTTGCTGAACAGAAGCTATAGAAACTGAAGGTTGCTGGAGGGGTTTTGGGTGGGGGATGGGCTAAATGGGCAAGGGGCATGAAGGAGGACACTTGTTGGGATGAGCACTGGGTGTTATACATAAGTCATGACTCACTAAATTCTATTCCTGAAATCATTACTACACTATATGTTAACCAACTTGGATGTAAATTAAAAGTAATAAAATAAGTACAACTGGGTCTTGGAAATCTTCCATCTTCCTTTCCTCCAAGAGCTGGATCCTGGTTTCCTCCACTTGCCTAAGAGATGCTTAGAAAATCTATGATGTAATGAATTTTCCTTAATACTAAGGTACCTCAGGTGTTAATGTAAATTACTTTTTGCATAGGGTTTAGGAAATGGAGGACCGGGATCCATCCATCCTTCACAGCTTCGTTGTCCACTTAACCAGTACCAGCTAGGATAAAGCATTTATATGCTCTCTATGCAGTATCTCTTCATTCTTAGGACAATTCTGTGGGTTAGGTACTGTTTCTATTACATTTCAGGTGAGAATGTAAAGACCCAAAGAAGCTAAATAATTTGAGTCCAGGTAGGCTAGCCCCCAGTAAAATTTAGCATGCAAAACGGGACTCTGATTGCCCTCTTCCAGCCTCTTCCCACCAGCTCAAGCTACGAGTATACTACAGTTCCAGAGAGCAGACAAACGCCTAGCGAAGCTTGTTAAAATGCTGGTTCCAGGATCCACCCCCGGGGAATCTGGAGTATTGACAAACATCCTAAGTGATAATGATATAAATGGGGAAACACTGCCTTCAAGCAGATGAACCTGTTACCCGAGCGCCCAGGCGGAGGCCGGCTGCTCGGCGCCGAGAGCGGACAGATGCTGCCTCCCGGTGGCCGCGCCGGCGCAGTGCAACCCCAAGCCGCGGCTGCGCAGTGCCGCCCTCTGGCGGCCCCGCTCCTTCTTCCCATCGGCCTCGGCTTGCGGGCCTTTCAAACATGGAGGAGCGGGAGCGGGGGGCGAGGTCGGCTCGCGCCGGGAGCCCCGCGCGCCCGCCCAGCCCGCGGCTGGATGTCAGCTCTGACAGCTTCGACCCGCTGCTGGCCCTGTACGCGCCCCGCCTGCCGCCCATACCCTACCCAAACGCGCCCTGCTTCAACAACCTGGCCGAGTACGAGAGCTTCCTCAGGACCGGGGTCCGGGGCGGCGGGCGCGGGCGGGCGCGGGGCGCGGCCGCGGGCTCAGGGGTGCCCGCCGCCTCTGCCGGGCCCTCGGCTAGAACCCGTCGCCGCCTGGACGCCCCGGCCCCGGACCCCGAGCGCATCCAGCGCCTCCGTCGCCTCATGGTGGCCAAGGAGGAAGGGGACGGGGCCGCCGGGGCACGCCGGCGGGGTCCGGGTCGGAGCAGGAAGGCGCCGCGCAACGTGCTCACGCGAATGCCCTGTGAGTCCGGCGGGCGCGGGCGGGGCGGGGCGGGGGCCGAGGGCCAGGCCCGCTGCCCGGAAGGTGGCGGCCGAGGGGGCGTTTGCAGGGTGCTAGGGGCTTGGTGCGGGTCTGCGCGCCTGAGGGAGAGGGTCTTGATGAAGGTTGCAGAGATCATCCGCGGCCGTGAGGAGGTTCTCCTTGAATAATGTGGGGAAGGGGGGGCGTGGGGAAGGAAGGTCTTCTGGAGTACCGACGGGTGAGGGAGAGCGGTGGGGGCAGAGTGGGAAGGCTGTAGAGGTAACAAGGAGGGGCTCTAACGGGGTCCATGCAAGTGGCTGCAGAGGTGATGCGGGGCCCGCAACGAGGGGCTACGACCACGAGGGTGATGGGCGTCTGGAAAGGTGGTGGGGCCTGGAAAGCGGACATCACCGGGAGGAGCTGCACGCCACAGCCAGAGGGGAGGGGCACAGCCAATTTTAAGGAAAGGAGAGTGGTTAGTGGGACTGGCGATGACGGGATGGAGTGTGAGGCGATCTGTCCCTGCAGTTAGAACAGGGGACATAAATTCATAACGCCTGCACACTAAGTGACACTCCTCCTGGGGTCGTAGCAGAAGGGCTGTGCGGTCTTGAAACACGTATGTTCGCGTTCCCAAGTCACAAGTGCTGGAATGCAGCAGGCACCAGTGCCACTAAAATACAGACACTGTTTCACCGCCACCCTGCCGGGATGGGTGCAGGACTGGGTCTGTCAGGCTCCTGTTACCATATGCGCAAGTTATTTTAAGTTCTGAAGGTGTGAATGGCACAAGGGAATCTCTTGGAGCCTAATAGATCCTTGGAGATCTGTAAACAGCAAGGCTGCTAATGTGTGAGTTAGGTCTTCCACCAGTGGAATGAAAACAAGCCAGGGTTATGTCTTCTGTCATCTGGCAAGCAGTTCTCACATCTGCCAGGGAAGACAATGACCTAGTTAGCCATTCAAAGCATCTGTATCCTGATAGCTAAATTGTAACATTTATAAATCACTGGCTTTGGAGTGGAAGGTTGTGTTAAGCGAGTTGCTTCATTCCTAGAAATGTGTTTGTAAAGAGAGAAACATCCTGAAAAGCTGTGTGCTGTTAGCTGGGTCTTGGTCAGATCATTTCCTGTGACAGTGCTAGAGCATTCTTGGCCAAGCCAGGGTGCATCCCAGCCTGCTTCCCCAACGATAACACAAAGACAGAGTGTGCATGTAGCTAAAATAAGAGTAGCTGCGGACCTTGTTTTGCCACTATCAGATCTTTGAAATGCTCTCCAACTCTCAGATTGTAACATTTATTTCCGTTTTGCCAGTTGTGGCTTTGCTACTGATATTGTCAAAGAAAAGACATACTTCTGTATGGCGAGTGGTTTTGGCTTTACCTACGGAGTACTCTGTTATATTAGTATGACAGAGCATGAAAACCAGCTTTGTTGGCTTTCCACAATTAAATATGTGCCTGCAATCAAGATCTCAGAGTGTGCCGTAGGCACTGAAAATTTTTATCACTCCACTGGAAACGGTTGGGTGTACATGATAGAGATGGGTAGACGTGACAAAGAACTGATGAGCTTCAGAAAGCAAGAAAAGTACAGAAGCATGGGTAAGATTAAGTTTATTCAGACAGAGTTCCTATAAAAGGTTGTCTTCAGGTCTTCAAGTGAATTTAAAGAAGGGCATGGTTAGGGATGACAGTAATTATTTAAAAGTTAGGCTATTGAAGTATAATTTGTATGCGGCAAAATTCACCATTTTAAAGTGAGTTTTGACAAATGTGTAGTCATGAAATCACCATCACAATAAGGATACAGAACAAATCCATCATCCCAAACAGTCCCTTTTTAAGTCAGGAGATAATTTTATTGTTGCTAATTATGGCTACAGTTATTTAGTGGGCGAGTGCTGTGCAGTTTGCGAAGCCCTGTAGATGCTTCGTATCTTACTTTACCCTTAGATACTACTTTTTAAGTGAGGCTTGTTGAGCATCACTGCTTGCCCAAGATTACATAGCTAGTTAGCTTGCAACTCGGTGTGTCCAACTCCAGGGCCTACGTGCCAGGGCCATCATGCTAATCTCAAGTGAGGGAACAGGGGAGTACATTCTCATGTTTCTCTGCTTACTTCTTTTGGTGGGTGGAGAGTACCACATAAGTGAGGCAGACGGTGTGTGTCTAGAACAATGAGAATGGAATCTGGGTCCAGAGAAGGATGTATTAAAACATTTTGAAGACCAAAGGGTTTCTCTCTGACTTTGTTATGATAGATAGTGGGGACCATGGTGTATATTCTTAAGTAAACGGCAATGTTTCTCATAGTTTAATTTCTAGTAGTAAAATGTATTTGGTGGGGGACGGTGTATAGACCACAGATGCAGGGGTTCGACTGCTGGCTTTTTTAGTTTTGAACATGAACACTAGCTCCTCCACTTTCTCGCTGTTTTATGGAGGCAAGTCACTTAAACTCTTTGGGGCCTCAGTTAGCTAATCCATTCAAAGCATTTACCACGGTAGTACATGGGGAAATTCTCAGTGATTGTTAAATGTCCCTGTGATTGTTGTAGGTTGTTGTGGTGGTTATTATTGTTTTAGGCTGTCATAATTAAAAGCTCCAGGGCAGGATGTATGTATAACCTACCCGAATTGGGTGTTGACTCAGCTGTTTACTACATAAGTAACCTTGAAAAACTAATTCAAATGAACATTTCTGAGCCTCGTTTTTCTCATCTAGAAAGTAGGGCAAAATAATAGTACCTGCGTGTTAAAGTTGTGAGGATTAAATAACATACATAAAGTTAACCTTACCCCAGGGCCTGGCTCATAGGGAGTGCTCAGTAATTGGTGATGATGATGGCTAGGGAGGATGGGAGTGAGGGGACCTCGGAGGCTGTTGTAGTGAACCAACCATCCCATAAGACTCTGGGCTGTATTGGTTGTGGGAAAAGAAAGGAAAGGACAGGTCATACTTATTGAGAATCCATTGTCTGAGCCTAGTGTGGCCACAAGTAGGGAGAAGAATAGAGTTTAAAATGACTGGGATTTAGGGGCGCCTGGGTGGCTCAGTTGGTTAAGCGTCCAACTTCGCCTCAAGTCATGATCTCACAGCTTGTGGGTTCGAGCCCCTTGTCGGGCTCTGGGCTGACAGCTCAGAGCCTGGAACCTGCTTCGGATTTTATGTCTCCCTCTGTCTCTCTCTCTGCCTCTCCCTAGCTCTCACTGTCTCTCTCTCAAAAATAAGTAAACATTTAAAAAAAAAAACAAAAACTTAAAAAAAATGACTGGGACTTAGAAGGTTGAGGCCTAAGAATAGTAGCAGTGGAGAGGAGATCTGGAAGAATAACTTCAAAGATAAGGCATATATATCTTTTTGTTGTTGTATTAAATTTTAGAAGCTTGGTTCATATTTGGAGTTTGTTAGAGAGACTGCTGGAAAGAGATTCAGAGTGTGCGTTCCGATTCAGAATTTTTGCCTTGGTAGTTTGCTCTGATAGGTGGTGCTAGTAATGTATTTTTGATCACACAGGAGTGAAGTGCTCCCTGGAATTATACCTTATTAATAAATCTTTGGAAGAAAAATCAAGGGAAGAGTACAGATATGAGAGTTGAAAGACCTGAGTTTGTCATTTGTTTGGCTAGAATAAGAAACTGTTGTTAAGATATGTGCTTGTCTTTTTTCTCTCATGTGGGGGTTCAGGGGTAAAAGTCATACCTCTCTATTTTTTTACAAGTTAGGAAAAGAGTGGTCTTTCCACTGTTTGTGGAAACACATATGGGGACGGGGGAAGCAGTGAATGTGTATAGGCAAAGAAACTAATCCAGGTTTCTAAAATATTGAATTATAGAGACTTATTCTCAAATAAATCTAGAAGTTAACTAGTCTAACCTCATTTTACAAATGAGGAAAGTCAGACTTGTAGAGAAAAAGTTACTCAAACATTCAAGGAATTTTAAAATATTGCTACAGGTAAGGTAGATGATGAGGCCAGACCAAAACTCTCACATTCCTTTCCAGAGCCTCTGTCTCTGCCACATTGCCGTCAACTGTGCCTTCTTGCTGAATCTTCAATCTGACATAAGCTCCTACTTCTCATTGGCTAGGTCACTTTCTTCAGAGTATTTTCTTTTATTAATTTATCACTGCCATGATGTATAAGCTGACCCATGAGTGAGGGATAAAGAGGTCAGGAGGAACCAGCTTAGTTATCCAAACTGAAGGGCAGGACTCTTGTTCTCTTTCATACTACTAGAAACAAAACAGAGATTTTGTGTTTACTATTGATGGCAAGAATCAATCTCCAAAGAATTATGCCTTGCAAACTTGGGAGGGAAAGACAAAGACTATGTGTGAGTGTGAGTGTAAGTGTGTGATTGGACATGTGGTTTTCTTTTGGGAGGTTTTATATATATCGTATAGCCATCATATTGTGAAAGCTAAGTTAACATGAAGTAATAAAAATAAAATTCATCCCTCTTCACAAGCCCTGAGAAAGAGAATCCATCATCATAAAGGCTGCAATTTATAGTTCCAGCATTCTTCCCATGAATCGTCATTCTCTTTTTACGTGATGCTTATCTGCAATGTCCTATGAGCCTAATGCCCAGCAGGTGCCTTTCTGTCAACAGGCTTGGACTGAAACCAGGTCTCTTCCGTCTAGTGTAAAGATGGTGTCCATTGGAACACTAGTGGTTCCAGAGAGCTTGTCCATGGAGTATCTCAGATGGGGGCCAAAAGTCCATTCTCTCGTTAGAGGACTGCACGTGTTTAAGGGCAGATGTGTTACATGGTTTGTTTCCTTTAAACATATGAACAAGATTTTTAGTTTTTTGAAGAGTCAAGCTGGATATGTGGTTCATGAGAATTATCTTTTAAAAAGTTGTCTTAACCAGGCACAGAACTGAGAAGAATTTTGCTGCTGATGTGTACATTTAATGTGGGTCCCCCCCCAAATGTTTTTAAATAATGGTGCATCTTAGAATCAATGACATCATAGAACATGGGATATACAATTAGCGAAACATTCGGGTGACAGCCATATGTATGTTTGATCCTCATCCGGGTGGAATCTGGTCTTACTTCAGTGTGTTGCCCATACTAACCATGCTGCCCATTGGGCCTTCTCATTTCCATAGTGAGGTTGCCACTGCACCATGTTGCCTGGTGTTGCTGGAGATGGTTGGCTGGTCTTGGTTGCTAATTCTGAGAATGAAGGCAGATGTTTACATTATGCTGTCTGCTCTTGTCTTGTTTCAGTGCACGAAGGCAGCCCTCTGGGTGAGCTCCATCGTTGTATCCGGGAGGGGGTGAAGGTGAACGTTCACATTCGCACTTTCAAGGGTCTTCGTGGCGTCTGTACAGGCTTCCTCGTCGCATTTGACAAGTTCTGGAATATGGTAATTAAGCCTTTCTCAAAGGGCTGGAGAGCTCCTAAGGATTAAATCTTTTATATGTCTAAATGACCTGAGTAATTTTATTTAGGAAAACCTATAAAATGACTTCCTAGAGGAACTAGAATTTTTGCATTCTCTTGATCAACAATAAAAAAAGTTCTTTTTACTGCTTCCTTTTCTTTAAGGCATTGGCTTTCAGCCAAGGCAATTAAAAAACATTTTTTTTAATGCTTATTTATTTTTGAGAGAGAGATAGTGTGAGTGGGGGAGGGGCAGAGAGAGGGGTACAGAGACCTGAAGTGGGCTCTGTGCTGACAGCAGAGAGCCTGACACAGGGCTCAAACCCATAAACCATGAGATCATGACCTGAGCCGAAGTCAGATGCCTAACCGACTGAGCCACCGAGGCGCCCCTCAAGCAGGGCAGTTTTGCCCTTATTTCCCTCCTAGGGACATTTGGCACTGTCTGGGTACTTTTTTTAATTGTCACAACCATGGCATGGAGTATTACTGGTATCTAATGGGTAGCATCCAGAGGTGCTGCAGCACATCCTACAATACAAAAAATAGCCCCCCAGCAGCAAACCATTCTCTGGTCCCAAATGTCATTTGTGCTTACGGAATAAGGATTTATTTTATCTGTTTAGTAATTCTATGTCAATTTCCTACTAACCATTCTTTCATTCATTTCAAAATATTTATTGATTTTCCACTTTGGCTGGTACTTTACCACAGTGCTAGGTACAGAAATTTCAGAAAGGAACTTTCACTTTATAGCATTTGGGAAGATAGATAAAGATAGAGGGGAAGCAGACATACTAATAAGCAAGGCACTTTGCATGGTGTTTCCTTATGGAGTACATGCGCCCCCACACTCCTAGAGGCTTACTGTCTGTTTACCAGACATTCGTAGGAGGGAAGAGATAGATTATGGCACAATTATACTATGAGACAAGCAATTAAAATAGGAACCACCAGGCTTTTCATATGGTCTTCTACCTCTAACTTTTCTTTTTCCTGTGTTTTATCTTCCTCCATGCATTCTCCTGGATGAGTATAATAGTTGCTGACTATTTATTAAGTACTTCCTATTTGCTGTACAGTGTACTAAGGATTTATAATATAGTATCTCAGTGAACAAGGTCTGTTACTGTTCCATTTTACAAATGAAGAAATTGAGGCTAGAGATATTGAATGATTGGCCCAGATCACACTGTTAGTAAGTGGAAGTACTAGAACGTTGTCCCAGGTCTTTCTGACTCCTAACACCATCTTTTCAACCACTGTGGAATCAGAAGACCTGGATTTGAATCCTAGCTTTACCACTTGGTAGCTCTGTGACTCTGAGCAAGATGGTTTCTCTGAGGCCACTTTTCTTATCTCTAAAATGTAGGAAAAACTACTTTACTATTATAATTTCACCTTTGAAGGAAAAGTTTTTAAGAGAACATCTTTGATGACCGGCATGATAATAATACCGTCAGCTTATATTTGTAGGGTGAGTCACACTTTTCAAACTGAATTCTCATACCTGAGCTCATTTGGCCCTACATAGCTGTCCTCTGAGGTCCATCTTTCAAAGACAGGAATTCCCCAACAGTTCTGTATGGAACCCTGGTTAATACCTGTTCATTGTTGTCGTAAGACCTAAATCTGATGAGGGAAAAGAAGCAGTAGAATAGTGTTTCTCAAAGTATGATCTAAGGGCATCCTACATCAGAATCATGGAATTTCTGGTTAAAACAGAAAATTCCTTGGCTTCATCCCAGACCTACTAAATCAGAATATCTAGGAAGTGGCCTTGGATTTATATTTTAATAAGCCTCTTAGATACATATGCACACTGAAATTTAAAAACCTCTACCATGCATTTGTAAAGGCCCCTTACCATAGAAGAAACCTATCTTATATGGTGGTAGCAGCTTGGAAATCTTACTCGGAGGGCTCCAGGTATTACCGTTTTCTCCTGCCCAAGAGCTCAGTCACTTGTTAAGTTTAGTTCTGCTAAGTTAGATGTTTATTCTCCTTTTTATTTATTTTTTTAAAACTTATGTTCCACCCGTAGGAGGATTTTTTTTTTAATTTTTTCTTCTTAACGTTTATTTATTGTAGAGAGACAAAGAGAGACAGAGCATGAGCATGGGAGGGGCCACAGAATCTGAAGCAGGCTCCAGGCTCTGAGCTGTCAGCACAGGGCCCAATGCGGGCTTCAAACTCACAAACGGCGAGATCATGACCTGAGCCAAAGTCGGACGCTCAACCGACTGAGCCACCCAGGCACCCCAATGTTTATTCTCCCTTTTAAAATGTTTTTTCTAGAAGCTGTAAAAATAATATTTTTAATTCTGCCTTATCTTTTTTTCCCTTTGGGCTGTTTCTCTAGGCACTTACCGATGTGGATGAGACCTACCGAAAACCTGTTCTAGGCAAAGCGTATGAACGGGATTCTTCATTGACTCTTACTAGGGTAGGCAGTTTACCCTGGCTTCCTGAGTACCCAGCATGCTTTCAATCTTAGACATTGAGATCACTGAGTCCGGTGACCAGGTTTTCTTGGGGAGAGAGCTCAGTTGCTGTCTACTCTGTATGCCCGGACCAGGTTCTTCATTAGTCTCTTCTCACGCATTCAGCTAATCACAAATGAGTCTGTGCTTCTGGCCTGCACGTTATTTGAGCAGCAAGTTACCTCTTATAAGCCTTAAAAGTCTTTCCATTTTATACCAGAAAAAAGCAGGTGCCTTTTCTCTTGACGTATTTATTGATTTACCCGAATTACGGCTAAACACAGAAAAACTCACTGCTTTTTAAAAATTACAAAGTGAGAAGTCCATAAAACCTAATTCATGAATATGGTGTTTTTTCTGTATATTCAAAGAAGGATGTTGACGGCTGAAGAGAAGGCTGATATTTATCATTACTTTCCTTCTAGCTATTTGATCGCCTAAAACTTCAGGATTCCTCCAAAAAGGACGCAGATTCCAAGTCTGCAGTTGAAGATTCCACTCTGTCCAGATACTCCCAGACATCCACTTGGAAGGTAGCTTCGGTGTGGGGACGAGGAGACACTGACCGGGGCTCACGCAGGCGTTCCCGCTCCGTCCCTTCTTCCCTGCAGGCGTCTGCAAGGGAGGAGTCCAGGTCAGAGATGTCAGGGAGGACTACACGGACAGAAGGGTCAAGTGCAGGAGGTACCTTTTCCAGGGCTACCACCCTTTCCAGGGGTCAGCCCCGTAAGAAAAAGCGAAAGCCCAAAGTGGATTACCAGCAGGTATTCACTCGACACATAAATCAGATTTTCATTCGAGGCGAGAATGTCCTGCTGGTTCATCTTGCACAGTGACCAGCTCGGCATCTCTTGAGCTTTGGTTCTTAGAAATAAAATGCATGAACCGCTGCTATGCTGTATCCTAGTATCCCAGTGAAACTCTGAGTTGGAATGATTCCCTCTGGTCCTGCATGTGCAGAGCATAGAGCCAGGCTTGGGCCCTCTGGAAGATGAGCTCCCTCAAGCGGACACAGGCCTTAGGAAGGTGGGGGTTTGCGTTAATATCAAGGCAAAAGCTGTACAGAGGAAATATGCATCCAGTTTGGTGTCATGGTTGACTTTAGACACTCCAACCAAATATCAGATCTTCCATTTGAATTAGGAGTCATGGTATGAATTAAATTCATCCCACAGACACTATAAGGATGGGAATAAAAAAACACCTCAAAAAATGCTCTCATTTCTAAAAGCTAGTGCCCTGAGTACTCATGAATTTGATTCTAAGAGTAGTAACATAAATTGCCCTGTAGCCCTGCACCCACAACTTGTAACTGACCTTTGAATTTTGCTCTACACCATTCTCTCTCTTTATCAAGAAATGTAATTTATTACCTTTGAATATCTGCAAAACTAAGAAAGAAAGCCACTAACTTATGTAAACTTTGGATAGTTGGTATGCTTAGAGCAGCCAACAATGAATACTCTGTTGTTATCCCTCTCCTTAGTATGTAAAGGGATATGGGAATTCATCAGTCTTCCCCACTTACCAGAGGTAGCTTCTGAGAATGGCATGCCACATGGGACTATAAGATGCTCATGAGGTGGCTTCTTGGCCTTTTCTCTCACTTGTGTGGCATGGTGTAGTGCATGTACCCACTGTATTGCCCTTCTGTATGTAGTGTGAACTGTCCTGTGAGCTTTATGGCAGGAGATTGTGACCTACATATCTGGCTTCAAAGAGTTCTGCATGGACTCAGTAATACATATGCATCACATGGTTGGGAGCTTCCTTTCTGGGGAGGGCTGGCCCGTGTAGACTAACTTTCAGAATGGTTTTTCCACGAAGTAGGAGTGATAGTTTTATTTCCTCAAGTCACGCCAACGAGGTTCTCACAAAGTACAGTGGGTGGCATCTATAAGGAACACTTTACTTACTGCCTGGCTTGAGTAATGGGAGCACTGTAGTACTCTCTAATACTTCTACTTGAATCATATTATATGCTTTTTCAATCACCAGTACAGAATAGGCTACATCTTGACGCAGACTGTTAGGCAATATTGATTTTTTGTTTTGTTAGTTTATATTTGGTTTTATTTTATATAACTTACATTCAAAGTGAGAATAAGAAGTAGCTAACTAGTTAAAATGCTTGAAAAAAAATTCCCTGCTGCATTTTTTGTGTAACTTAGATAAGCCCTCTGAGAAGCAGGGTGAATAATGTTTAGGGAGTTAGGGCACCTGGTCCTTCTGCTAGCTGGGCCACTGGGCCAATGAAAGGAGAGCAGACTTAACCCCTCTGTGCCTCAGTTTTTCCCATCAGACACCTACCTCACCGGGGCACTGAGACAGAGAATTTTAGGAAGGCATTTTAAAGTCTCTAAACATGTTTAAGTGCCATGAGTAATTTTTACTAACTATATTTCATAGCTCGATAAGAGTTCTATGTCTTATGAGCAAGGTAGGTGCTACATAAGAAAGTCATCTCTGTGGCTGTTGCAATTTTGAACTTGTCATCAGAAGGCAGTGATATCTTCAGGAACTATTTTCCATATTCCATTCCTTCCTCCTAAAGGACAATGGAAATTCTCAGAAGAATATCCTCAGTAAAAGAAGAGTAACATTTCTTTGCTGCTTCCCCCACAAATGCCAGCCCCAATCCTTTTCTGATCATCAGAAAAAATTCCCCTGAACTTTTCAAGAGGTTTATGTGATAGTACCAAAGGGAGATGCACATCTAAAAATGACACATCCCCAAAGGGGAATCTGTGGAAGATGCTTCGTTTCGTTTACTTGTTTTTATTTTAAGATGCAGTTTAAATATACTCTTTAGAGCCAGATCAGATGCAGTAAGCATTTAGAGAGGTTCCATGTTACAAAGTCAAGCAATTGTCTTTGGAATCTGCTAATCTAAATTATCTTCTAAATAGTATGTCTAATAAAATCTCAGTTCCCCAATTAATAGTTATCTTGTTTAATCATCAGGCACCCCTGCCTCTGCATCTTTACCAGTCTCTCCTGTTAGATGTCCTCATCTGTCTACCCTTCTGTCCTCAGCTAGAAGCTGCAATAGATACCAGGTTTTCCCAGTAAAGTAAAAGTTTGGTATCAAAAGGAATATATCACTTTGCATTCATTCTAGTGCCTGACTAAATCTAACGTGATTTGTTTTAAACACATGCTGAGTTTTCATGTTTGTATATAATTTTCATATATCCAGATAAGGATTGGTTTACTGCTTTTCTGTCCAATATAATAATTCTGCCTCTGAAAATAATTTTAAATCCATGTGATCAGTCTAATGTGCCCATTGGCCCCCATTTATCGGTTCAGTTTTGGACAGTGATTCACATTTAGTAAATGTGCTGTATTGCATAAAGCATGCCAGTGTTTTATAGGGAAGTCATTTTTTTTTAATTACTGCCTTTTCTTTATTATTGTAGAAATATTTCAAAAGGAAAAAAAAATTGGTCCTAAGAATGTGTGTGCTGCTCAAAATATGTCATCATCTAGGACATTATAATAAGTTGCTATGAAAATAACTGAAGTCTTCCTCAGGACAAAGAAAGAAAAAGAGAAAGTAACAGCCAGAATGGTAGAGTTCTGGAGGCCCCCACGAGCTTACCTGAGGGGTCCCTATGTTGCAGAAATGCAGCAAAATCTGGTTTCTAGTATTCTCCAGGGATTTGGGCTTAGGACAGTTGGTAGGAATAGTACTTATTTTTGAACATCCAACTTAGGTTCTTCAAAGTAATCTCTAGACATGGGAATCCGTTCCGAAGACAGTTCATGGGACACACCTCTTCTCCAGAGCACCAGATTTGTTAGATAACAAGGCATCAAGCAATGGAACATGGGTTTCACACCCAGAACGATTTCATGTGCTGTTCTTCATACATAGAGGTGATTCTGTGGTTCTACAACCAGGAGAATGTGCATTTTAGGTTGTTGGTGCTAGTACTTGGGAAGCGTTTATGCTTCATTTCAGAGACTATCTTATGATGGTGGGTCATTTGTGTGATGGTTAGCCAGTGTTAGCAGTGTCTAAGACAGATGGCTTTAGACCATTTGGTACCTTGCTGTCTGTGCATGGTGCATATCAAGTTAGAAAGCCTAGAAACCATTAGCATTAAAGTCTAGGTGCATCAGAATCCTTGGTTTGAGCTGTTACTGGATCAGAAGGGACTTGATTTATCCTTGTGGTAAAAAGTCCAGGAGTACCTTAAGAGGTTGTGAAGACATGAACTATGGGCTCTCTTTACTCCTCAGAAGCCTCACAAAAATCTAGTTATACCACTTTACCCTTGAGAGAAAAACAGAAACCTAACTTGATGCAGAGGAGTTTTTTGGATTTCTTTTTGCACTATCCTCATAGCTGCTGACATGGGCAAAATCATGAAATAGAATTGATTCTGTAAATTTTCTCTAATTTTTGCCTTTAGGAATAATTAAAATTATTCAAAGACAGCTGTCTGTCACTGGTGCTGCCCCAAAACTTTCCCATCTTTTATGTATTTTTTATGAATGAAATAGTCGCTGTGGGAAGTCCAAGGTTCACGTAAGAGTATCATGGCATAAATATAATGGTTTAGCAACTGTTTTAATTTTTCTTTTCCTGTGCCAGATATAGAATACAGTCAATCCCTTTCCAGTAGCTTCTGTTCATCAGCCTATGTTTTCCTGGGCAGTAACTCCCAAAAGGCTTTTCTTAGTGATTATAAAGGAAGAAAATCTTATCTGGGCTTATGTTGCAAAGGTGGGTGGTCTGTCACTACTTTCTGGCAAATTGAGTTGATGGATTTTATATAAGCCTTTGGGATGCCTGTCACAGTTTCCTGGGCTCTGAGGAAGGGTTGCGCCTTTTTTACTTTCAGTGTTTTGAGTATTTTTCAAATGTTTGTAAGTTCTCTTGTGCCCCTCTAATAAAAATGAAAGTTATCTGTCAAGGAATGGCTTTGCATGGTTCAGAGATCTAGGGGAAAAGAAATAAGTACACCTGAGACCTTCAGTTGGTCTTTTATTTATTTAGAATAAAAAGTAGTTTGATAAGCTACCAGAGTTAGTGTTGCTTTAAAAACACTCTCTGAAAAGATGGCAACTGTCCCTCAGGAAAGCTATAAAAGCTATTCCCAATACATTGCAATTGCTTTTGATTTTTACTCCTTTGGAGCAAATGTCTGATGTTATGTCTGATGTTATGTTTTTAGATCTGTGGGGGAAAAATGTCTAAACAATTTTAGGGGGTATTATTTAAATGATTATCTGGCTAATTTGTGTGAGCTAGGTTCTAGGGCAGCTGTCCAGTTCTTTTTCTGTTGTCCTGACACTAACACAGATAGCAAGCGATGTCTTGAAAAGTGATCTGCTTATTTCATACTGACATCTAAAGACATTAGCCTTCTGTTTGGCAACCCTGGGTATACCCCTCTGCACCGTGACTTATTGTGTTTTTTAGGCAAGGCTAAACCTGGTGACCCTCTGTATTTATAGTTTCACTATTCATATATAAGCTGCTAAAAGAAAAACCATAACTTCTCATCTTGTCTTGAAATTACTCTTAATTGTGAAGTTCACCTAAATTCTTCATGTTTATGGAGGATTGCTGCTAGTAACGTCAGTTTGCAGTGTTCTGCTGTAGGTATGTGTCACATGGGAGTCTGGAAACTGTAATAAATATGATTGTGTTAATGTACTGACTGCTTTGTTTCTGCTGATTTTGAGGGGCGGTGGAGGGGAGGAGGCAGGGGAGTCTATTACCAGGTGACGATACTGACCTAGAAAGTGAAATCATCCCAAGCCATCTCAATGTTGTAACCTTGTGCCTTTTCTTCACCAAAGCACACATATCTACATCAAC